ACTGTAGGTTCGTATAGAAGGATAGCCAATGCAAACAAGAATTCAGAGGTAATGCTAAGCCAGTAGACAGTAGCAATTACCCACACCAGATTTCAAACCAGTATGCAAGGCCAAAAACTCTTCCTCTTGGAAAAAGAGACTGTATGATCTGTGCAGGCTTCTGATCATTGAGATAGCACAGCTGCACACTGTCCTCGGAATGCCCCACCTGGCTCAGGGCTGAGACGCTGACAAGGAAGAGTATCACCTCCCAACCACTGGCATTACTAACTCATAGAGCATTTGGGAAAGGGAAAACTCCACAGAAAATCAAGCCCTGACCAAACCCAACCCTGTTTTATTTGAAGATCACTATCTGAGATGGCATGGCTGCAGGCGTACAGGAAACAGCAAGCATTTTAGAATATCCACTCCCATGTTGAAAAAGCGAGGTGAATATATGTTTGTTTAAACACAATTCTGTCTGAATCTCCAAACTGCTAGTATGGCATCATTGTTTCCACAAGAAAAGCCGCTTATGATGACAAGGACAGGAAATACCTCTTCAATTCCTATTAATTAGGGGGCTAATTCCCCATCCACAAGAGGATAACTGGCAATACAGTAAAATAATAAAACCATCTGTGCTCTGAGTCATTCAAAACTTAGTCATTTGCTTATTGCATTTCCAAAAAAGAGCAAAGGTTGAGAACACGTTACTCTTCAGAGGTTATTTCTGAAACTATACGTTCTGAAACTGAAATACTTCTATCTATATCAGTCATATACTGGCAAATTTATTACACATTACTTAGAGTTTGATCCAAAAAGAATGTTCTCCCTATGGCTGCTAGCCCATATGAAAGCACAAAAAAGCCTTTGGGGCTCTACAGCTGCAAGAAAGATTTGCATAGTTAGAGACAGGTGAGGCTGGTTTCAAGCTTCTTGGCAACACCTTCTTTAATTAGGAAAAAAGAATAAAATGAATAGATGGTGATTTCACTCAAGCCTTCTTTGGAAATGGTTCCCAGAATAAAATTTCTGATTAAAACAGAAGGGGAAAACCAATTCCAGAGGAGTGCAGCTGGGGATGGGGATTCACATACCTATGCCTCATTTAAATAAAGGATTTTATCACTAGATGGATTCCCTGACAATATATCACGGGTTACTGTGGGGGAAAGAAGAAGGAATGAAAGGTGGAGAGACAGTTTCTCAGCCTCTCTGTCTGAAAGTGTGTCACCTCATGCAAATAATGGAATATTCGTCAGCACACAGGCTCAAAAGAGTCATCTTCATTCCTCATTCAGCTCTGACTGATGTTATAGAGTCTGCAAATTTATATGAAAATATTCCTTTGACCAGCTGAACATAGCAGTGTTAATGCTGGTGTATAAATAAATAAGGTCTGTCAAGCAGCAACCTCACACCAGTGGCAGATAGCAACTAACTTTATTAATGTCAAACAGTTGTGGCCAGCAGGCAGCAAGTAAGGGAAAGAAAAATAAAGCAGAACAAAAACTAGAAAATCCTCTACTAGAAGAACTGGCTACTAAGGGTTATATCACTGGAGAACAAATTGTTATGGCTGGTGTCAGTATCATTAGATTATTACTAGTTCTAGATGTTTTTCTACTCACTCTCATAATTTTCTTATGCCTAACAAATTAACTTACTGAAAAACCACTCCTTCTGTCTTCAGTACATATCCTCCCACACCTTTCCAGGTATTTGAAGACACACATGTTAAGGTAGGCTTATTTTTTGCATTTTCTTTACCTACGCAAAAGACCTACAGGGCTTGCAGGAAGCAAATAATGTAACATTACACTTCAAAAGCCTGACTTCAGCAGTATCTCTGAGCAGATGCCCAGCAGGATAGTAAGAAGCAGAGCAGGCCAGAAGTACTTGTTGATTGGGGTTTTTGACTGATAATGTGCAAGGCTGCAAGAATTTTCATTTTTAGAACTTACAATGCAGGTGTGCCTCTATCTGTTTAGTTACCCTCAACGGATCCACAGACACATCCATTCTCTCTTCGAAACCATGTAAACTTTTAATAGCTAACACTGTGCTAGCACAACATAAAAGTTTAGATTCCAGGAACTTAAAGACTGATGCGGACAACAGAAGTGTTCAAACTCCTCTCTCAGTTCAGTTCAGGTCATTTCAGCTCAGCTCATCAATTTGTCCGGAATTTACATAGTTATCCCTGCAGAGAAGTGACCTTTACAACCCAGCTCTCAGAAAAGCCAGTTTCATTCTTTAGAAATATACCAGATGAAAGTTATTGAAAAATAAAACTTAGAGGAGGATATCCCTGGATCTTGCTGCAAAAGCTACATACCAATTTCACCACAAGCTGCACCATCTTAATACTGTATTATGCTATCAAAGTATTCAGTGTATTTTTAGGAACATATTGTAAAGAATTCCAGCAAGCACTCTTAATGTTCTTTTGTTTGGCAAGTGACATTACCCTCTCTCCATGGTTAAGACAGCAAATTACCAGACACCCTAAAGAATGCAATAGTCTAGCCAAACCTAGAAAAACCCACTTTTAACACCAGCAACTTCGCCAACTACCACTCAGTTTCCAAAGCCCTCTTTCTTGGCAATGCCTCTGGGAAGGTAGTGGCATACAAAAGCTAACAGCACCTATCCCTTGCCAATGCTCTGGCTCCTTGACATACAGGCACGAGACCAAAACAGGGTAAAAGAAACCCTCCTGGCACTGCCAATCAAAGTGCTCCTGGCCTGGGACTGAAAACAAACCTCAGAGTGGATATCCTCTGAGGCTCCTACAGAAGTGACTGCCTGGTTCTAATAATAAGACTCGTGAAGTTTAATAAGAAAAAACAGGACAGCAGTCCTTTTCCCAGACAAGCTGAATGGAGTGCAACTCCCTCTCGTTCTCCTGCACAGCCTAGAAGTCCTGTATTAGTGTGTGGTGTCCCTGCTCATGGCAGGGAGGTTGGAACTAGATGATCTTAAGGTCCTTTCCAACCCTAACTATTCTATGATTCTATGATTCTGCAGTGCCACAAACCTCAACACTTCTTCCATGCCAGTCTAACCCCAAGACAGTATTACACAGGAAAGCTAAATGATGCTAGAAGTTCATGTATCCTCAAATATACAGATGACATTCAATTATGTCTCTGTCTCTGCTTAAATGAAGGGTTTCAAGGGAAGCAAGGCACAGCTTCCATTTTCTGTCCCCGCTTGGCATCAGATAAAGGAATACTACTGCCATCAGTTAACTCCAAAACATGAGAAATTGTTATGCTCAAATTTCAAGCAGAAAGTTTCATGGTGAAACCAGCAAATGGATTTCTCTGCCCTTTATATCCCTCTATCTTCTGGGACACTGGAGTTTGTCAAACATAAGGGTATCTTGTCTTGCCCCACAAGGCTGCCAAAAGAAAGCTCTGTTGCTGGCAGTAATATTACACCTTGCTGGAGCAGCCTGGGGTTACCCTGGACTCATTAGAGGATGTGATCCTCAACACTAAAATATGTACTTCCACCTTCATCCTCCACATGCTAATTAGTTCTTTTAAAACAGAATTTTAAAACATGCTTTCAGCTTCCCAAGTCCAGAGGCTACAAAGGATCCTTCAAAATGATAAGGGTTAATGTATTTGGCTTTCCTTGCACTCACAAATAGAGATATTCTAAAACAAAAATAAATGCTGTATAGCTAAGTGCTCCAAATTTTATAAAACTGTGATTATCTGTGAGGAAATTTTGCAGGCTTGGTTTAGGTGTAAATTTACCACTTTGCATTTTTAAACCTCTATCCTGCGTAATATATGTCATAAATTTAATAGAGAAATAAAAACATACTCATAACATCCCACACAGTTTGGAAAGAAATAGCATGGAAGCCTATAGCCAAAAAACATATCTGCATCTTCCACTATATATTTCTGGGTTTCATATTACAGAAATATAACTTTTTGTATAACTATCTATGATGGTTCTCCCACTTTTCTGTATTCACATGAACACACATGATGTATTCCACCACAATCAGTGAGTACTTTGATCATATGCATAGCACAAAACTGTACATGCACAATGCAGGCTGTTTCCCTTAATTTTTGGACAAATCCAGAAAGTATAAATGTATATGTATCAGTCCAGCACTACACAATTACTTCTTGGTCAGAGTGGGGTTGATTTTACATTTAGGAAAAGAGCAAACTGAGTTAGTTGCAGCTTATTTCAGAGAGCCATTTTCTTCTGTGAAGCAAAATGAGAAAATGCAGCATGACGGTGACGGCAGGAGTTACACGTTGCTCATCAAGAAGTGATAATATGACTGTCAGACTTGTTTGTCTTACCCCGACAAAATTTCTTAAAACAACAAAGATTTACAAGATTTACTAGCACTACCCAGTTGATTAGAAGGCTAACTCTATGAAAATACAAAGAATCTTTGGTCTAAACAGTGTGGCATGGTTTTTATTTTCTCTTTAATTTTTAGAGAATCATTGAAAGGACTGTTTACTTTGAGATCTCTCCCCAAAAGTTCCAAATGTCACTAGCATGAACCATTAACAATGTGTTCAAAAACTGCTCTAGGCTGATATGAAAAATATAATAAATGAACATATTTGCATTTTACAATGCGCATATAAAATAAAGAACACGGTAGCTCACATTACAGACTTTAGATGTAGGTCAGTTGTGTTTTGTCCAAGATAAGAGAATAATTATAGCATTTAAAGACTTTTATAAATTTGGGATATTGTCTCCTTACTCCTCTGCCTATTCTTACTTATAAAATTCTAAAAAACATGAAGTGAAAGAAGATTTCCTTAAACAAATGTTTATGAAACTGCAATTGAGTCATTGCCAGTTTGAAAGTACTAAAGTAATCACAGCTTGTCCTGATTATATGTACTTATGGGTGCAAAATAGGTTGCTGACCAATATGCTCTTTTTAACTATTAACAGTAGTATCTTTGTTCTCAAACAATGTTAGATGCACATGTTCAGGAACTTATATTTACCTGGTGGATTCTTGGCAGGATCATTGTGGCTTGGACTTCCTGGTTGTCCAGAATCTACAAAGAAATGAAAGAGATGTTTCACTAATTTGTTTTGAAAGTATCTCACAACCTTTAATACACTCCTTCAGTATTAAACTAATACTTAACTTTGTTCTTTAAAGGTCATTTCCCTGATTTTCTACATGAAGGCACTATTGAACAAACACTGTATGTAACCCATTTTGTGCAGAAGCAGAAACATTGTGACAGATGCAATGATCCTAATAAGAGGAGCTCATAGATCATTGAATACAGACAAGAGAGTCATTCAGGTAAACATTCAAGTTGTAAACACATCTACAAGCGTACCTTTTCATTCCTTTTCCCTCCATCCCCCAAATATAATATTGCATAATCAGCATAGCAGAAGTAGTTTCTTCTGAGGCAATGACCAGAAAGATGTACTGGATCAGGCAACTAATGGCTCTTGCAGTGGTAAGTCCTGTTTCTTTACCTTTTCCTTAAAGCACAAAGGCCTATGTTGCTTCCAGACTCAGGACTGCATTGAAGGTAGGACTGTCAATTTTAATACAATATAGGCTTTGTGTTCCTAGTCTATGACAATTGCCGTTATGAAATGAAAAATTTTGTAACATAGAAACTAACAAAACACAAAACCTGTGGACTTCGAAGGCTGTTCTTTTCATGATACATGCACCCAATAAATCAGGAGGAGAATGCAATTTGATGTTAACACACTAAATAATAAAGCTTTATTCATAAAAGCACTTGCTTTTAAATTATCTAATTTTTGCTGCATTCCCACACCAATAAAATAACAAAATAATATAACAAAAACCTGCTTTACTGCAATAAATTGTTATTACCAAGGTAAGACGTGACACTCTTGTATTCTGAGAGAATAAGAAATTAAATGAAGCATAGCCATTTGTTCTGTATACAGGTATCTAAAAATAGAACAGTTGTACAGTTTAAATTCAAAATACCATTTTTCAAATGTATCAGTGCTTGTTAGTAACATAGGACCACCAAAAGATTGCATTTTACTACTGCAGAAATTGCTACTACCAAATGAGCCCCAGAGGGAAGTCAAAGTTCTTGAATGCATTGTTGCTTACAGTGTCCAAATTAAAGAAAAAAATATTAAAAAGGAGAAAAGCAAATATCAATAAATCCTTGTCCTTCAATTCCCATCACTTCTTCTTAAAGCCAGTGTAACCCTCAACCTAGAATGAGAGATTCCCTCCACCTGTTACAAGAAGTTCTGTTACCATCTATTACTTAGCTTAGCAAACAGCTTGATACATGTATCTCTCAAGCAGTTCAAGTTAACACAAACTTGATTCTATAGAATATCTTGCCTATGATGGAAATCCATTTCACAGTTCAAGTTCTACTGAATTCACCTGAACAATGGTTGTCACAGAAGACAAGCATCAGGGGATCTACCAGAGTACTGGAAGATCAAAGCACACGTTAAACTCAGTTCTGATGATATTAAAAATCCAACTAATTTTCCAGCACTGAATAAAATCACTCTTGCACATGGTAAAATAGACCCTGGATAGTGAATTTCACATGAAATTTCCTCTATCTTCCTCTACCCTGGGCAGGAAGAATGAAGGGCAAGCCCCCCAGTCAGATTCTGCACATCCCATGGTTTAGGCCCTTGGCACTCTTAAAAGAGACCCACTATATGCTTGTTTCTTTTCATGGTAAGAAACAACACATCCCTTTAAAACATCAAATCAAGACAATTTGAAAACTCTATCAGCTATAAGAAATGCTAAAAAATACAGTGCTGCTCTGTATATGGACCTTCATATGGACAAGTGTTTCCTGTCCTGCAATGGGAAGGTTCACCCTGCAGGGGGTGAACTTTAATATTATTCTAATAGGCATTCTCTTCTGCAAACTACAGGTATCATAGTTGAAATTAAGATTACCAGAGAGGATTAATTTTACACAGCAATTGTCCTAGTGTAAAACTACTGTGAATGTGTGGCTAAACAAAGTGTCAAGTTGGTAGCAGTTGCACCCAATAAAGTGTGGACAGTTTAGCTTCGGGAACACAGAAATTTGAACCAGGATTACTGAGGCCTACCAAAAGATAGCCTTTGACATTTTCTACTGTTAAAATCTACTAAGAAGGTGCACAAAGTGAAGAATATTTTTCAGCTCTTGCACAGCAGTTTGCTTTTACTACTACTTTCTCATTTTCAGTGTGGTCGCTTTCTGAATCCAGGATTTAAAGATTGATAGTGATTTAAATAATTCTTTTTCGTATCATAGTAAGAAACTCGGTAAAGAAATCTCCAGTTATAGAGATAAGCAGTTTACTAGTTATTATAATTTGCCACTCAGACTTAGCTTTATGTTTACTACTTATCAATCACAATTTTTACAGATTGATTCTCATAAAGTGCTTTGAGCAGTAGATGCTAGTAACATATTCAGCGGGGTCTCAATGATCTTGAGAAAGCAAAGAATCATTGAAAACTGAATATGAGAAGCAATTTACCTAACTCTACACTTAAAGCAGTTGAGAAAGCAAAAAATCATATTCTGCATGAGAGTTATCAACCTATGTAACTCTGCACTTAAAGCACACAGAAGCATCTCATTCTCAGAATGAAAGACATAAACCTGAGAATGGCCTGTGACCACCCAATTCTCTCAGCAGTGTCAGTAATTATAAAGCTTTCTCCTGATTTGGTTGGATGCAAATAGCCTTGCAAAGTGCAAGAGAACCATGGTCATTATAGGAATAAATTATATGAATACATTTATAAGCAGAACATTGAATTAAAAGAGACATTGGAGCAATGCTCTTCTAAAAAGTGAGTAAGACACATTTTTGGAAAGCCACAGAAACTGAGGAACCAAAGACATGCTAAAACACTTTAAGTCTTTCTTTGTCCTCATCTGTACAAGATCATTAATTAACAACATGAGTCCTGGTTTTAAAAATTGCAGGCTTTTCTTCCAGTGTGGTGAAGAAAGACATAAACCATACTCATTGTCTGCCTAGCTGGTTTTGCATTCAATTTTCCCACCAAATAATTCTGTGCACATATATATATATATACATATATATATACTTCCTAAGCTAGAAGTTGTAAGCAAAACTGTACAACAAGTAACAAATAAAACCCTGTTATGTAAATGTGACAAAAAATGACGTTTTCAGCAATGTCATTTATGTAGCTCTCAAATATAAGTCCCTTTCAGAAACCTGCCTCTCAAATTTTACTGTCAATGTGTTTTTCTTGAAAAAATACTTCCACACAGATCTGAGGAGTACTTATCCTTATTTGCTACAGAGCAAAAGCTGACCTACACTTACCATTTTCACAGAATGGCTTTCATATACACCTCACAACTACAGTGTGCATATCTTCTGCTCTGCTCTTCTTGGTGCTGAC